ACTGTGTAGAAAATGACAAAGTGTGGTAACCAGTAATTTGCCACCTTTAACCATAAAGATTTCTAGTTATATAACAAATCATGAAACAAACCAGAAAATTATATACAGCAAATATCCCCTCAATTGAGCAATTTTACCCTCAAGTGAGAAAGTTTAAAAGGGAAAGGAAGATAAAATAGAGAAATAAAAAGAAGGGAAAGAGAAGAAACACAGGAGGATAAAGGAAGATTACCTGAGCTTTTGGAGACTGGTGAAGAAGACAGGAGGGAAACAAAGAGGAAGAAACAAAAACAAGAATTAGGGTTGTACCAGTAGACAAGGGAGGCAGACAGAGCCCAGAACCATCCTGTTTGTTACCAGCAGGCTTGCAGCAGGATTTGCGCGAGGTTCTGTATAATCTCAACAAGCCTGAAGTAGAAATACAGTAGGGTGCTGGTTCAACTCTACAGAAATTCAGGCTGATCCTGGTCTCTGGTTGTATGGTGTGGTCAGAGTCGTTCAGGCCACAACACTATGGATGTTTTTTGCCAATTTGACTTTGACTCCTGATTCTGGCCCTCTCCCTTGGCCGCACTTCACACAGACACTGGGAGCCTGAGATGAAGCCAACTCATTGAAAGTTTTCGGTGCGATAAAAGAGCAAAATATAAAGTAAAAGTAGCCTTTATTCCAAGGACATTCACTGGCCTTCATTTGAAAAATGTCTGTTCAGATCTTTTGTCCACTTTAAAGTTGAATTTTTTGGGTTGTTGCTGTTAATTGTTTCTGTTCCTTGTTTATTCTGGATATTAATCCTGTGTCAGAGGATATCCTGATAATCCTGTATCAGAGAAGAGTCCATGACCACTGGCGGCCTGAGTCCCTCTGACCGGGACGTGGGCTATGGGTTATACAAACAACCTCTGACCAGGGGTGGCACTTAGGGCGGGCATTGATGACATGCGAGGAGCTGATTGGAGTTTTCTTCACAAACAGGAAGGGGAGCTGCAGTTAAGGCTGAGGAAGCAGCAGGAAGTGGTAGATGGTCCTGCTTAGGCCTTCCACCTCATTAGACCACCGCTATAACCGAACAGTAATTTCTATTAGGGCAAAAACCTTTCACTCATGGCTGCTCCAAACCCCAGGTTCAGCTAGCCACACCCCAAAATGGCGGCCAGTCAGTTACCCCTCTTGAGAATGTTTGAACTGGGGTCACTCACCAGCCACTGCAAATCTCTGTGTCCACTGCTCTGCTCCACTGGTGTGTTCCTTCATGGAGGCCTCCAGGGTCCCCTTTCATCACTGCATTTCTGTATGCTTGAGCTTCCTCTGTCATGCCACAAGCCAGGAGTTAGGCAAAATGCCCAGTTTGCTGAGGCAGGAATCGGAGAGGGCACCATTTGCCACCTCCATCTTCTGCCTTGAGGACTATCACGTTACTCTCCTTGTGGGTTCCAGTTCTCCCTTGAGAACTTTCTGGGTCGTGAGAATTCATCCCTGTCCCCCTCTTCCCCAAGGTGCTACACTCCAGTATCTGGTATACCAATCTCAGAGAATCTTGATTTGCCAGTGTTCAGCATTCTGCCATCTTCCTGGCAGAAAGAGAAAGACAGTGAGAGGGTGGTTTTTTTTTTTTGGCTCAGATCATGTTGTCTGGCACCCAGGTAGAAGTAGAATGGCAGAGGGGCATGATAGAAGAAAAGGAGCTCAACTCATAGCAACTAGGAAGCAGAGAGAGAAGGGAGGAGCCAGGGATGAGAATGTACCCTTCCACATGACACCCCCAGTAACCCACCTCTTATGACCAGGCCCCCTGCCTATGGTGTAAAATTTTGGGTACATTTCTGGGTTTGAAGCATAAAACCTTATAGTGAGATCCCTGGGCCATACATATGGCAATTCTATTTATGGTGTTTGGAAGAACAGCCTCTTTTTTATTTGTTTTTGTTTTTATTTTTTGGTACCTGGGTTCAAACTCATGACATCACACTTGCCATGCAGATGCTTATGCTGTTGAGCTAAAGCCTCTCCTCCTCTTTTTTATAATGGCTATATTAACTTACCTTCCTGCCAACATGTAAGAATTCTCTTTTTGCCATATTCTGCACAGGCATTTGTCTTTTCTGTCCTTTTGTAAGTTACTCCAATGAGTAGATGATACCACTGTGGGTTTTTATTTTCTTTTATTTTGGTGGTTCTGGGGATCAAACCCAGAGTCTTGCATATAAGTGCTTGCACTGGGCTAAATTCTCAGCCTCTCACTATAGTTTTGATTGGTATTTTCCTAGTGACCAGTGGTGCTAAGCTTCGTGTGTGTGTGTGTGTCTACATATGTTGGCCATCACTGGCCTTCATTTGAAAAATGTCTCTTCAGATCTTTTGTCCACTTTAAAGTTGAATTTTTTGGGTTGTTGCTGTCAATTGTTTCTGTTCCTTGTTTATTCTGGATATTAATCCTGTATCAAAGGATATTTGCAGCATTTTTTCCCATTTATTGGGTTGTCTCTACTGTGTTGCTTGCTTTATTGTACAAATGCTTCCTACTTTGATATACAGTAATTCCACTTGTGTAATTTTGCTTTGGTTTCCTTTGCTTTTGGAATCTTATCTAAGACATCTTTGGCTATACCACTGTCTGAGGTGTTTCCCTTATTTTCTTCTAATAGTTTAATAATTTCAGGTCTTAAAAGATTCTGATCCATTGTTGATAGTTTTTGATGCATGGAAATTTTAATTCTGATGAAGTCCAGCTTCTATAATTTTTGTTATTCCCTATATTTTTGATGTTATGTCCAAGAAATCCTTGCTGAATCTACTGTCATGATGTTTTTCTCCTGTTTTTCTCTTAAGAGTTTTACCATTTCAACTCTTTATGTTCAAGTCGTTCATTCATTGTGAGTTAATTTTTGTGCATGGTAAAAGATAATCAACATCATTCTGATTCATGTATATTTAAATAAACTGTCATCATAAAGACTAAGAAAAATCTCAAAATTAAGAGTTCAGTTAAAATGCAAAGACTGTGTTAGGTCAGTATAAAATAGTTACTATTAATTTTGCTCTTTTTGTTGTTGTTGATATAGTTCTGTCATCTTTTAAAAGGAAGTACTGACTCTTGGTAGTGGATAAAATTATAACCTCCAGGAAGATGTATTTAGGTGCTAAAATCCAGTCCCTCATTTGGAAATAGTACTTTTGCAGATATAGTTAAAAATGAAGCCATGCTGATTAGGGTAGACCTTCAATTCCAGGACAAATATCTGTATAAGATGAGGAAAATTTGGGCATAGAAGACACAAGGAAAAAGTATCATATGGAAGCTGGCTGTAGTGATGCATCCACAGGTTAAGCAACACCAGTGTTGACTGTAACCAGCAGCATCTAGGAGACAGACAGATCCAGTTCTGCTTTAGAATCTCTAGAGGAAACCAGAGCTGTAAACTCCTGAATTTATTTCAGGCCTCCAGAACAGTAGGGAATAAATTTCTGTTGTTTTAAAAGATACTCAATTTGTGACACTTTGTTACAGCAGTCCTAGGAAACTCATTCAGATTTGGGTACCAGGAAGTAGGTTACTGCTGTAAGAAGCACCCAGAAGTATGAAAGTGGCTTTGGAATTGGGTAATGAGTAGAGACTGGAAGAGTTCTTAGGTACTTGATAGAAAAAGCCTGGATTATCTTGAAGAGATAATTGATAGAATTAAGCATATTAAATGTGATTATGGTGAAGACTTAGAAAAAGAAGAAAACTTCTGTTATTTATAGAACATATAAATTGTCATGAACACAGTGTTTGTTCCAGTGAGGTCCCAAATGAAATTGAGGAAATATACTTGGCTCTCGAGAAAAAAGTGATGCTTGTTATAAAGGGGCAGAGAACTTGGCAGAACTATGATCTCTTATTGGGAAGAAAATAGAACATGTAAGAGGTGAACATGGACATTTAGGTAAGGTTTCCAAGCAAAGTTCGAAAAGGTCAGGGTAGGTGTCCTTGCTGCCTTAAGTAAAATGTGAAAAGAAAGGGAGAGATAAAAGAATGAATTGGTTTTTGTGCTTGTTGTTTTTCCAGGGATGGGATTGTTTTTTTATTTTGGCTTTTGGTTTTTTGAGACAAGCTCTCACTATGTAATTGAGTCTGGCCGTGAACTATGAAGTCCAGAATAAACTTGAAATTAATGGTATCCTCCTGCCTCAGCATCCTGATTGCTACCACACCTGGTTTAAAGAGGAAGCTGGTAAACAAAAAGGGAACCAAGACTGTCGTGATTCTGACAAATTTTTAGCCAAGGGAGTATTTTCTGAAGACAAGTGTACAGAGCTATAACAACTAGCTAAAGGAGTACTTTTTCAATCTTCAAGAGTTTCTCTAGCTGTGCTTTCATTCTTTTGTTCTTTGACATTGTTCATATTTTTAAGTAATATATGAAATTAGCTTTTATTATAATTAGTTTGAGGAGAACTTTTATTTACTTGCTGTTTGGAAAATTCACATTTACTTTCTACCACTGATGATACTTACAAAGTCTTCCTAGTCAGCATTAGACTTTTAATGTTGATTCAGTTCAGTAAAGTCTGTGAAAATAATTTCACTTTTCAAGTGTGAAATTTGGGAGTACAGTTATGTAAATTGTATTTAACACTTGAAATATTTAGTTTTAAAATGACACCCTTGGGAAATGATAAGCGTAAGACGTTATTATAATAAAGGAATTTATAAAGGAAAAGTGTATGAATTCAAAAATCCCTTACAGACACAACACCCTTACACAATAATTTCCACTTTTGCGTCTTCCAAATACGTATATTAAGTACTTAGTTATCATGATTAATAATTATACATCGTTTCTTAAACGATGTATTAAATAGGCCATCTTTAAATAGCAGCCTACTTCCTGAAAGTGTTTTAAAATATTCAAATATTGGCTCTCATATTTTTCCAAAGTGTAATTATGGCTACAAATATGTAAGTCCTAAAATTATCGGATTACTTTAATTTTTTACCTATTACTTTTTTTTTCCAGCACATAAATGCGCATCATGCTTATGAATCTCAGATCTCATCAATGGCAAAAGGCATGGCTAGATTAGAAGAAGAGCTGAGACATCAAGAAGATGAGAAAGCAACAGTGTTAAGTGATTTGTCTTCTCTTAGAGAACTTTGCATTAAGCTCGATTCAGGCAAAGATGTTATGACCCAACAATTGAATGCTAAAAGTCTTGAGTTGGAGAGGGTAAGAACTAGCGAAATCGTGTTTGTACATTGTTTTATCGAGCCCCACCCTGTTTTATTTTATCATATCTGCCCAATATATTTGTTCTTCTTTTGAATATCTGCTTTTGACTATTTGACTACAGATTGCTTGCCAAGATTTGTCTAGCAGTAATAGTAATAAATTTAGGTTCTTTGGCCAGGTGTAGTAGCACAGGTCTGTAATCCTAGCACCTGAAGGGAGGCTGAGGCCTGCCTGGGATACATTGTGAGTTCAAGGCCAGCCCCAACAACATAGTGAGACCATGTCTCCAAAAAATAAATCAATAGATAAATAAAAAATCAGGTGCTCTGTGTTTGGGAATAGATATTTAGGAGATTATGAACTTCATAATTGCCTATCTCCCGCATTCTCTCTTTTTAAAAGCCAGGCGTGAATGAAAAATTGAACTGTTCGTTGCATCCTCAGTAGAATATTTTCCTGATAAAAATCTCAAGACATTTAAATTTTACTTAAACGAATCCACTATGCTGGAACTTCCCTTTAAACAGAGGCATTACTTTAAACTAGCTAAAGTGTGCTTTCAAACAGAATTGTTTCCTATTGTCATTCATCTAGTGGTGTATTTTCAGGAACTGAGAAGCTATGATAATGGCTTGGCTGTATAATCAGACTTAGCAGATTTAAGAAACCAGAGGACCTCATTGCCGTAATAGAGTGGCTACATTTTAGAATTTACTATTAACAAGGAGTCATGAGTCAAAAAGTACTTGAGGATCAGAATATGTCTTGTAGCCAAATAAACCCTTAGTAAAAGTAGCAAAACTCATTTCAAAAATGAGATCTTTTTCTTATAATGAAGGAAATTGTTCAAAATCACTGCTCAATTCCAGTACTCAGAATGAAGCAACTGATCACTAAGCAGCTCTGCAGAACTGTATTATCAGAGTGAGTCTAAATTGGTACTAAAATAATCCTTGTTTTTCCTGTAGGCACTAGCAGAATTAGAAAATGTAAAATCAGAATCAGAACTATTAAGAAAACAGCTGTCAAATGAGAGATACACGATTAAAAACCTCGAATCATTGTTGGCTACAAACAGAGATAAAGAATTTCATTCTCATTTATCCTCCCATGAAAAGGATTCAGAAATTCAGCTACTTAGGGAGAAGTTAACCCTTTCAGAAAACAAATTGTAAGTATCATAGATCAACCTATATAAAAAAATAATTTGTCAAAGGTAGCTTTTCTTTTTGGGGGGAGAAATGAACAGTTGTACAGGCCCAAAATATTTGATTTACGTACCTGCCACTTTTGGCAGTGCAGAGGACTAGCTTGGGAGAGAGACATTGTTTGGAGATAAGGACTTTTATGTCTTCATGAGGTAATGCTACGGGACAGCTGGGCGTGATCGTTAGGAAAAGCTCGCTTTGGAGGAATAGTCGGAGGATGCGGCAAAGGGGAGGACATTTCAGGATGGAAAGGGGTGTCTGTAGCTCATACCATAGATCAGGAAAAAGACCCAGAAAAGGCAGAGATACGATGACCCTTGTGTGCTGATTACCCTTGGGAAGGTTCGTGATGATGTCATTTTAAAATAGAGACCCTTGAATGTATTTGTTGGAAAAGAAAAAGAAACCATAGTAGATTCCACAAATGGAAGAATGGGCTTTTAAAACGAGCTTAAAACTCTGAGGCAAAAATCAAGGAAGAACCAGTGGAGATATTTTCTATTTTGATGTCCAGTTCCTGTATCGTGTTCAGGTTGCTTGACCACTGCCTAGCCTGGCACATCTTAGAAGCTCAGTAAATGATAAGGAAACTAAGCGAGTGAAAAAGAAAACTATGATAGAAACTTCAGACTTTAGAGACTTGCTACCGAAAAGGCTACATACCCTTATGTATCCCTCCATTTGTGTTTGTTTTTCAGATTTCCTTTGTTGTTGTTGTTGTTGTTGTTGTTTTGGTACTGGGGATCAAACTCACGACCTTGTGCCTGACGGGCAGGCACCGTGTTGCTGAGCTATATACCCAGCTCCATTTGTATTTGTTAACTTAACAAAACAAACTTGAGTCTGCAAAATGGAACATTTGTAATTTATTTTTATCATTTGTTTTAAGAACTAGTCAAAGCCAGGAAAACACCATGCTTCGAACTAAAGTGGGACAGTTACACACAGATTATGATTCTCTAAAAAAGCAGATTACAACAGAAAGATATGAACGGTAAGAAAAGAATTTGTAGCATCAACATTGTTTTTATGTATTCTCTGTCCTGTTCTGAAAAGAATTTAGTGTGGCTTGCAAATAACATTTTACTCTTACATTAATATACAAAATATTTTTTTTAGTAATTCATAAAAAGGCAACAACTAACCAGGCACTGTGGCACAAACCCAGTAATCCCAGCTTCTTGGAGGCTGAGGCAAGAAGATTGCAAGTTTGAAGCCAGCCTGGATAACTTAAGTGAGACTTTGTCTCAAAAAGTACAAGTGGCGGAGAATATAGTTTAGCAGTAGAGCGCCCTTGGGCTTAATCCCTAGTACTGAAAAAAGGGAGGAGGAGACAGGTATTATAGAAGATTATTACATCCCTTTAGTAAATAATAGCACATGTTTATAAATGGCTCTGTAACATTGCACAAGGCAAAATTAGAGCATTATTTCAGAAGTTAAGATAGGGAATAACAGCTGTCACTACCAGAGACCCCCCAAAATGTGGTCCAAGTTGTAAGTCCCAGGTGATCATAAAGGCAGTATTAATGATCAACACAAGACCAGTTAACAAGTACATGCTGAGCACCAGATATGTGTCTGATTAACCCTAGCAACAATCTCTTATGCCTGCACTACTGGAAATTGAGGTCACACAATTGTAAGTAGAGTTGAAACTAAAACACAGGCATGTCTGTGCTTTTCTAAAGCTTGTGCTTTTAATCTTTATACTACATTTCCTCTACTCTCATTTCAATTTATTTGCTTTATACTGAAAATTTTAATCCCTAAATTTTAGACACTAATGAGCCCTTGTTATGGTTGATACATTGTGTCAACTTGAGCCATCTAGAAGTTTAACTAACTGGTCCTGGGGTGTGGAGAACATGCCCTTAGCACTGTAGCATGTTGTTCATTGTGTCAACTTGAAAAGTTTAGAAATTAAACTGAGTGACTCAGGGGGGGCCAGGGTCTGTACTTGGTAAACATCCTGAGCCTGTGCTAGAGGAGAGCATAGAGCTGGAATGAGAGCTACACCCACCTGAGGTTGGGTAGTCTGCATACAATAAAGGGAGGAAAAGAGGCTTTCTCTCCTCCCCTTTGTGTCTTGGCTGCCTTGAACTATTGGCCCTGGGCCTGCCTTAGAGCCAGCTAACTATGGACTGAAACCTCTACAAACTGTAAGCTAAATAAACCTTTTTTCTTCTTTGACTTCAGGTGTCAAGTATTTTGTCCCAGCAACAAAAGAAAAGTAACTAAGACATACCTGCTTTAAGAAATAAAATTTAGGGGCTGGAGATTTAGCTCAGCGGCATAAGCACCTGCCTTGCAAGCAGGCAGTCGTGAGTTCGATCCCCGGTACCGATAAAAAGGAAAAAGACAAAAAAAAAAGAGTAAAAAAAAAAAAAAGAAAGAAATAAAATTTAATTCTAAATCAACAACAATGATACAAAGCAATGTCACTAATTTATTGTAATTCAGAAGATCTAGTTTCTTCTTGAAACTATCTGCTAAACTTTATGTATATAATGATTTCCATTTCTTAACATCTTAAACTCTCTGTAGTTTTAGGACCCTAATCCAGTCCTCCATGGTAGCCCAGACAATAGCTCCCCTTGAGTTCCTAACCTTTTCCTTATCCTGGGCCTGCAAAGAAACGTGAGCCACAGGACTGTGACATCTCTGCACCTTCTGTCCAGCAAGTTATACATTGTCACAGGACAGTGTCACTCTGCCCTAAGGAGCAAAATTGGTTCTTGGAGGTGGGAGAAAGAGGTAGCAAGAAAAGTAAAATTCTAGGTTACATACATATGAAATATTATAATAAATATACTATATATATGTATATAGTTTATCACAGCGAACTGTTGTATCACCTAAAATACAATAGTTTATGGCGCTCCTACTGGCCACAGTAGTTAATAGTGTATCTGCATGCTAAAATTTTGTTGGATAGCAGGATAATCTGAGAGGGAAAAGTTTATTAAAGAATAATAATTTTAAAAAGTTTGGGAACTAAGTAGAAATCCTGGATCCTGAAGAACTCAAGGCACCTAAGCTAGGGACTGAATAGCAAGCGAGATGACAGCATGCTTGCTTTACACAGTGGGGCAGACCCCAGTACAGGAAGGAAAGTGTGAGAGAGTAAACCCTTCCACTAAGACCTAGAGGAGTAGGCAAGAAGAAAGGAGGCCATGTTGTGTGCAGTAAGAGTTGGGAAAGGAAGAGGCCAAGGAGGGAATCAGTCAGTTTAGAAACTTTCAAGGGGCCAACCAATGAATGACTATTGGAAATTGGTTATGAGGATACACATACACATCAAACAACAATGTGTAACTAGAGGTAGAGGTCAGTGGGGTTTCATTGGCACCCTGGAGGACAAAATATACTTCATCCTGGAATTAGTAAGCCAAGGTAATTGGGGACCCTTCAGCAGTCCAACGAAAGTCATTATGTGGGCCTGGAGCACGGGATGAACTGAAGATGTGGACTTAGGAGAGTCATTGGCATCTCAAAGCATAGTCATCGGCTCATAAAAGAAGGGAATGTGAACCTAGCCCTGGAGAACAGCACAGTGAGGAATGCAGACTCGGAGAAGAACTCAAAATAGTTGTATTAATAGGAGAGGCAGGAGATGGCTGAGTCAGGGAGGCTAAGAGAGGGTGATAATCCCACAGAATGCTCCAGGTAAGCAACTGTTGTTCACCTAGAGACAGTTTTTAAGAATACATTAATAGGTTGGTTGTATTTTTTTAAATATAGAAAAGAAAATTAGGAGTTCTCCAAGAGTCACTGCTAACATTTTCAGACTAACGTCTAGTCCTGTGTTCATGTCTGTGTTTGTCTGAGTGTACACTTGCCATCCTGCTTTTTTTCACTAAATATATTGTGTCCATCTTGCTTCTATATTATTTTAATGATGTCCTAAAGCCAGGCATGGTGGTGCATGTCTGTAATCCTAGCATTCGGGAGCCAGACGCAGGGGGATCATTGCAAGTTTGAGACCAGCCTTGACTACAAAGTGAGTTCAAGGCCAGCCTGCACTGCATAGCAAGATCCTGTCTCAAAAAGACAGAAAAAAGATGTCCTATAAGTCTGACATGATTACAGCATAACTGCTTTAAGCAGTCTTTTAATGCATATTTTTATTGAAATATTTTACACAAAAACATAGGGCTTTAATTTAGTAAAAATATTAAGTCTGGGCATGAAGGCACACAGCCGTAGTCTACTTGGGAGGCTGAGGTGGTAATAAGTGATCACTATGGGCAACATAGTGAGACCCTATCTCAAAACAAAACAAATTAAATTTGATAAAATAGTAATTAATTGATTTAGTAGATATTAATTAAGTACACCAATAGCACCTTATATTAGTGTACCAAGTTTTGGTTTTTCATTGTACCTGCATATAATCTCTCTTTTTTTTTTTTTTTTTTTTTTTTTTTTTCATATAATCTCTCTTGTTTGATCTTTACCAACAGAGAACGAGCAATCCAAGAGATGCGTCGACATGGTCTTCCTATGCCACATCTTAGTTCTACCCTGAAGTCTCCTTCACATTCTCCAGAACGAAAGGGTTTGTATATAGTATCACAAACAGGCCAAACTAGTCTATGATTATAAAAACTTAGGACATAGTGTTCGGTGTTAGAAGAGGGGAGATTCCCTGGAAATCTGGTCAGGGGAACTTCCTTGAGCAATGGCAGAATTCTGTGTTTTGGTGGTGGTAGTGGTTACGTGAATGTACACAACTGTAAAAACTCTCTGACTTGAACATTCATGTTACATGGATCTCACTATTTGAAAGTTAAGCCTGGGGGTCAGGGTTTCGCTCAGCAGTGTAAGTGCCTGCTTGGCAAACATGAGGTTGTGAGGTCAATCCCCAGCACCAAAAAAGAAAAAGAAAGTTAAGCCTGAATTAAAAAGAGAAGTTGGAGTAAACTTCAACTAAAAAGAGAGAGGGTTGGTAATGTAGCTCAATGGTACAGCACTTGTTTAGCAGGCACAAGGTCCTGCGTTCAGTCCTCAGCACTGCAAAAAAATAAAAAGAGAGAAGCTAGGTACAGCAAAACATTAAGTTATAATATGATATTTCACAAAGTGGTATTCTGTGAAGTACCAAATTCCCAGTAGAAATAATAGGCAGTAAAAGATTGAACAGATGCATAGTAGACTCCTCTGACAGGAGTGGTTGGTGTGGGGCCGTAGTGAGGGGAGGAGGAAGACTTGGAAGGTAGAGTTGGAGTGTGTGAAGTGTGTTGGATGTGAAGCTGAAACAGAGGTTGGAGATCATTGTGTAAGTGAAAGGGAGCCCTGGCAGGACCTCCTGTGTATAGGATGGATACAAAGTGGGGTTAAGATGAAAGAATCATTTCTGGGTGCTGACGTCACAACTGGGTTCTGACCATGTTGGAAAAGGTAGAAACCAGAGCTGGTGAGACAAGAGATTTAAAATGAATAGTATAATCAGTTTAGAATCAGCACAATGATATTGAAAACTATGGCAGATCTTTTTAAAGTTATACTTACAAAAAGGTGCTCTGTCATAGGTGTATAGTTCAGCATACTTTCAAACTGAACACATTTAGCTGACAAACACTGAGATCAAGAAACAAAACACTGCTTCTCATCTTGAAGACATACAGGAGTAGGTAGAGAGTTCATGAACAAGACCTAAATTAGACAGGAAGTACTTCAAAGAATCAACAGATGGGATCTCATCTAATTAAAAAGCTTTTTCACATCAAAGAAATCACCATCCGGAGTGAAAAAAAACCCACAGACTGGGAAAAAACTTTAACCAATGGTCCCTCAGGCAAGGAACCTCTATCTAGAACATAGAAAGAATTGAAAAAAGTCAGATCTCCCCCCAAATTCAAAGATCCAGTCCAAAAATGGGCATCTGAGATGAATACACACTTTTCAGATGAAGAAATATAAATAAATAAATACATGAAAAAAATGTTAAACATCATTGGTCATTCAAGAGATGCAAATTAACACCAGGATTCCATCTCACTTCAGGAAGAATGACTCATCAAGAAATCACCCAATAACAAATGCTAGAAGGCTGTGGGGAAAAAGCAACCCTTCCCCACCATTAGTGAGAGTATAGACTAGTGCACCACTATGGGAATCAGTGTGCAGATGCCTCAGAGAGCTAGAGTTAGAGGTGTCATTTGACTCGGCTATTCCCCTTCTGGGTATCTTCCCAGAAGAATTAAAAACATCTTACCACAGCAATATATGTGCCTCCATGTTTATAACAGCACAATTTGTAACAACTAAATTCTGCAAACAACCCAAATGCCCATTAATCAAGGATTAGGTAAAAAAAAAAGATGTGGTGTTTTTATACTGATCCGGCCCGTGGATCAGTCCGTGGGGTGTACCTGGAGGGGGAACAGGGATTAAATAAACACATGGGGGAGACAGAGAGACTGAGGCATCCGATCAAGCCCCGTTTATTCCGGAAGTGATCACATCTTTTATAGGCCAAGGGCTGGCTGGTGGGACAGGAAGAGGCTACGGGGATGGATACAACAGGGTCATCATCACATCCAGGTATGTGACGTAAGCAGGAGAGGATTATGGTTAATGTAGGCAGATGCATCGTGCCCATAGGAGGGAGAGAGGCAGGGAGGCAGCAATGGGGCTGTCGCGTGGCTCCCTGCACTATACAATGGAGTACTACTCAGCCATAAAGAAGGATAAACGAGATATTTCTATGTGAATGGATACAAGCTGAGATCATACTTAGAAGTGAAATAAATCAGACTCACATATGTAAACATCGTACTGTCTCCCTGGTGTGAGAAACTGAAAGAGTAAGGTGTACAATAGGTATTGTGAGGTGGGACTAAATGTTAAAAGGAGCTAGGATGGATGAAAGGGGAAAAGAAGGGAAAAAGAAATGATAGAAAAGCCAGGCGTGGTGGCACATGCCTGTAATCCCAGCACTCAGGAAACTGAGGCAGGAGAATTGTTGCAAGTTTGAGACCAGCCTGTGCTACAAAATGAGCTCACAACCAGCCTGAACTGTATAGTGACACCCTGTCTCAACAAGGAAAAAAAAATAAGTTAGTTATACTGTTAGTGTCTCTTAGTTCCTAGAAAAGGAAGGTTTCTGCTAATACCAATTGGAGAATTTTTTATGTCCATGTTTTTTTTTTTTGTTTTTTTTTTCCGTTTTTCTGGTACCGGGGATTGAACTCAGGACCGCCTGCTTCCAAGGGAGGTGCTTATGCCGCTGAGCTAAATTTTCCCAGCCCCCATGTTTTGTACTTTGAGTAGCTACTTTAAAGCTAGTTTGTAATGTATTAACTGTTTTTATTCTGTCTTGTGAAATTTTGTTACACCTTTTTTCCATAAAATAAGCTTAAAATTTTTTAAAAATTTCTTCTCTTGGTTTTCCTTCTGTCTACAAGCCCTGCTTAAAAGCATAAATTCTTGGGCTGGGGATATAGCTCAGCAGCACAGCGCCGGCCTGGCAAGCACAATGTCATGAATTTGATTCCTGGTACCAAAAAAAAAGTATTGATTCATTTAACGTTTCTGGACATTTTATAAATGAAATACATTTGTGAGAGCATCCATACTGTTGTGTGTACTTGTGGATCACCGGGCTGCACAGGAGAATAGCTCCTCATGAGCTTGCCAGGGTCCCTGTGCCCACTCGGCAAGGGACTGGCCTTCAGTAGTTCAATCACGCTAATATGTATCAGCAGCGCTCTGGGTTCCACTGAGGCTGAAACTGCTGGGTCACGAATGTGCATATGTTCAAGCTTTAGTAGATCCAACAAAGTGTTTTCCAAATAAGTTAGTGTGCACCGGGCGGAGGACAGATGAGGGATGTGCTGACTCACTGGAGATGGGAGTGAATGTCGAGGAAGCATGAGTCAGACCCAGCATTGACAGGCAGTAACTGCGAAAACCGCACACTCATTGACAAAAGTATCTGAGCCAGACTTTTTAAAATGGATGCATTTGTTTGCCTCTTTTAATAGAAGATAATTAACGTTTCCTCAATGAACTAAAACCCTCATTATGAATATTAATTATGTGCTGTGCTTTAACATACTGATGCCCCATGTTTGTAGGGCCAGGGTTAAATGATTCCTGATGGCTGTGCTTTCGCTGTTACATTTGACTGGTTAAAATGTTTATCTTCCTCTTTCATCTTAAGGATCACTGCAATGCTTGTGTAGTCACTGTGTCCTGATAGCTTCGAAGTTGCTACTCTATTTTGAATGTGACTAGGCGACTGTTCACCTTCTTGTGGTCAAGTTTTATGACAGTGTGGCAGATACTTTCTTATGCTTAATTCACAGACACAGTTTAAACCAGCGATTGGTGACCTGGGGTCTATGGGCCAAATCCTACCCGCTGCTTGCTTTTGTAATAAGCTTAACTGCACTGTAAGAAAAGAGTTTTTCTTCAGTGGCAGAGCTCAGTAAGTAGGATAAGATCCTTTGACCACAGATTTAGAACTTTTACTCTCAGATTTTTAATATCATGGAGCCTCTGAAAAACTCAGATATAATCCTTGAGAAATCGAGTGAAGAGGCAAATAATTCTTCAGTTTTATTAAAATACACTTGACCTTCTAGCATCCCTAACAGGATCTTAGGAGATCTCAGAGATCCCCATCCACGTACTATACTATCATTTTTATGGTGGGCCTGGGTTCTTATTTTGTCTGGGGCTGACTTGTTTGTCTGTTTTGAGACAAGGTCTCCCTACATAGCCCAGGCTAGCCACAAATCTGTCCTTCTGTTTCAATTTCCTGAGTGCTAGGATTACAAGGGTACTGAACTCCCAGACTATTGGATAATGGTTGTTGGTTGATTATTTGGTTAGATGGATGAATGGTTGCTTGGTTAAATGGGTGGATGGATGGTTGTTTGGTTGGTTAGTTGGTTTTTTAGCACAGGATCTTGCTATGTAGTCCAAGCTAGTCTTGAAATCACTATGTAGTTCAGACAGGCCTCAAACTCACAGCGATTCTCCTGCCTCAACCCCCAAATGCGAGGACCACAGGCATGCACCACTATGCCTGGCTCCCAGACTATTCTTTAAAAACCACTGAAATATAGTACAGGGCCTATGATTCCAGCTACTCAGGAAGGTAAGTCCTCAGGAAGATGGCAAGTTCAAGACCAGCCTCGTCAATTTAATGAAAGTCTCTCTCCAAATAAAATATAAAAATGGCTGAGACTTTAGCTTAGTGGTGGAGCACCCCTAGATTTGATCCCTAGTACCACAAACTATAAATACAAATAAGAATCAGTGATATAGAAAACAGTGGATACCTGCAATCCCTAAAGCTATGAAAAACTTTTTTTTTAAATTGTGATAAAATACATAGCATGAACTTTGCCATTTAGCTTTTTTAGTATATAGCCCAGTGGTACTCATTACCTACACAGTGTTGTGAGGTCATTTCTCCTGTTTCTAAAACCTGCTCATTACCCAAGACAGAAATTCCTTACCCATTAAACAGTAACTCTTCGCTCCTCATTTCTACCTTCTCAGCCTCTGGGAACGTCTGCTTTTTTTTTTTTTTTTTTTTTTGGTGCCGAGGATCGAACTCACCACCTCACGTTTGCCATGCAGGCACTTATGCCACTGAGCTAAATCCCTGGCCCACTTCTGCTAATTTTTATGTTTTGTGTTTATTTTGTTTGCTCCTTGGTAACTGGAACTCTACTTTCCTGTCTCTGTGAATCTACCTAAAGTTTCACGTAGGTGAAATTATACATTTGTCCCTTTGTGCCTGGCTTATTTTCCTTAGGATAATGTTTTTAAAATTCATTTGTGTTGTAAGAGACACCTTATTTTTCTTTTTTAAAATTTTCATCACTAGGTACACTGGCGTTATTTACTTGTGGCTATAGTAAATCATGCTGCTCTGAATATTGGTATACAGTACTAGTGTGTATTTTAGTCCCTATTTTCAAATTGTTTCTTATATACGTAGAAGTGGATGGGCTAATAATTTTGTTTAACTTTTTGAGGAACTACCAAGCTGTTTTCTACATGGCTATATTATTTCTATTCCTATGCACACTGTACAAGAGTTTCTCTTCCCCACAGTATCACCAATACTTATTATTTTCCATTTTCTAAATTATACCCAGCATCCTAATGCATAATACATTAGAAAAATTAGAAACATTATCAAGTCCACAGTTTTTAATTTGGTAATCATTTATAAGTAATTATCAGAGTACCCTAATGAGATTGTTAAATAGTAATCCATTTCTACTCATTCATTTCCACCCATATTTTCTAAATATTACCACTAAAACTAATTTGAAAGGATTTGCCCTATAAGCACTCAAATGAACTGTTAAACTATGAAGTAGTTTCTCATATAAGTGTCTGAAGATTAGAAATATATAATCTTGTGTTTTAACTTTTTTATCGTTATCTGAAACATGATATTTGAGATAGAAAAAGAACTAATGTTTTTGCTACTCTCACATACTTTTAGTGCAACACTTTTAACACCAAATCATCTCTCATACACCATCCGGGTAATCTGTAACTTGATTCTTTACTCTGACTACCTGGAGGTAATGTCAGATTCCATTTCCGAGGCTCAGCACCTCAAGGCTTCTTGCTGCCATGTCAATGCCCACTGCAAGCCCCAGGTCATGACCTCCTCCTTCACAAGTTTCATTCCCTTCTCAGCAGGCCTAAACACAGGAAAGGTGCTGCAGAACGCCCGGGCGTAGGAAGGCTGCTCACTCGGGTCAGGGAGGTCATTACATGGATAAGAGAGGGGCCAGGACAAAAGACACACCCTTCCACGTTATGCCCCAGTGAACTGCCTCTTCTGACCAGACCCCACCTCCTGCTGGCAATTAGCTATAGCCTTCCCAAGAATTAGTCACCTTCCAAAGCCCTGCCTCTGAGTACATGAGGCTCTTTAGGAAACATTTAGGGCCAACCATAACACTAATGTGAATCCAGGTTCCCTCCCTGATTCAGTTAATTTCTAAAGCACTCCTAGAACACACTGCCTTATGTTTACCCTTGTACTATGAAAGATACTCACAAACTGGCAAGGTATTTACCATACTCTGCGCCCTCACCAGCCCCACTGTAGGAACTACACATGTTCAGCGTTTGGAAGCTGCTAGCCCAGCCCATCTGGGCTTATGGGAGCTTCTTACACAGTGTAACCAGCTAGATCATTGGCCACTGGTGATCAGCTTCACCTTCAGCCTTCTCCCTGCCCAGATCATGCTTTGGACTTTCTGGTGAGCTGTCCCATCCTGTCCTGAGGCTGTCTGGGGACCTTCAGCAACTGTCATCTCATTTGCATACAAAAGACACTTGGGACTGTAGATTCCAAGGAGCCATATGTCAGGAACAAGGGACAAGAGATCAGATATGTATCTTACTACATCACACTATCACACATGTTCACTGAGAAAATGTAAATTACAGAAAAGTATAAATAAGGCAAGCACAGCAGAGTTCCTGTGTGTGAGCCTGAGGTGGGCGGTGCGCTTCGTCTGTAACTCTGTGCCGTGGGTGTCCCGGGAATTCCGCTGTCTGGGTGTGCGGTGGCTTGCTCTCCCTCCACCTCTGCAGTTGTGTGTATCTTCTTCCTTCGAGTGGATTCATGTATTACAGCTTAAAACATAAAGGCAGTCCTTAACTTCAAGAAGTAGAGCTGTACTTTTTCAATATAACTTTTACTTTGGGCACAAGGTTTTATTGGAAACTAATATTTAAAGCATTGCTGAATTTCAGTTTTTTATGAATATACTGATGTAACCTTATTTCTCATTTTTCTCTTAACTTCCCTTTCCCTGCTGTCTTTTCAGAATAATGGTTTTCCGTGAATTCCTATATGGATTTTTAAAAGAACACAGCTGTACTGAACTATTTGAAGTACTCATTCCTGAAAATCATGAACATGAACACAAATTCTACCTCGATCAACTTTTATTTAAATCAGGGAATATTTATGTAAAAATTTTTGGTTTAAAAGAATTGTATTTAGGTGTATATTTTCGTATATGACAACAAATATGTACTAATAGTGCTTAACTATGTGATATGTATATTTTATTATTCTTAAATTACTCCTTAAAATATATTTATACTCTGAATTAATATATTATTCATTTTATACTTACTAATCTGTTTCTTAATGAGCCATTATATATGTGTGTAAATATTCTCATAATACTTGTTTTTAAAGTGTTTTCAGTTTCCACACCTGTTTGTGACCCAAATTATAATCTGTTCACAAAGAAATACCACCTTTGATGCTGTGCATCATGCCTTCTTTTAACTGTAAAATCACTTGTTCACAAATTTGCTGTCCGTCAGTGAGGGGAATATATTCAAGTCTAGTCAGCATCAGAGGTCTCGGTAAAATAATTATTGCCATGTGTAATTAATTATTGTCACCTAGGAAAACTGTGATGAGAAAGACACACATATATTATGTACAGTATTATTTTGACTGTTACATGGACTCATCACATAATAGAGGTTTTATGAAAATCAAACTAAGTGCTATATTTAGAGTTTTGTAAAACAACCAATTTGGGGCAGTTTTTTCAGTAGATAAAATTTCTCAGTGTATTAGTCTAAAATTTCTGAATATAAAAGTAAATGAGGTAAATACAGTAAAACATTCTGTTAAAATTCTAACATACATTAAAGCCATATCAATTTTCTGCTTTTAGCTGTATGTTATAACTTACCAGTCTTCCAGAATAGTATGTAGATGCTGACCCTGGGGCATAGAAACTGAAAACAGCTCTTTACAATTCACTTTCAAAGTTGTCATTTTTAAAAACTTAAAATTTATATATATAAATAATAGAAGTACAAAAGAGAATGTCAGATACAGAATTTAATCGTGTTTCAGCCATACACATTTGAAGAAAAACCTGTTCTACTGGAGTTCATTGTGATTGGAAAAAAAACTGAAGAAGTAACATAAAGAAAGTGAAAGATCAATTACTTCTGTTTTGTTTCCCCTGTGGTGTAATAAAGCAGAGTTCCTGTGTGCGTGCCGGAGGTGGGCAGCGTGCTTCACCTGTACCTCGTGTGCCTGGGGTGTGTAGGGGATCCCTTAGTTGGAATTCCGCTGTCTTGTGTGCAGTGACCTCCGCTCCCTCTGCCTTTGCAACTGTATGTATCGTGTCTCCTTTGAGTGAATTCATGTATTACAGTAAATACGAGAGAAGTGGGATTATTTGCAATGTCATGGAAATCTCTAAATAAATATATGTAAATAAAAAATACTTGTCCCCACCTTTTCCCCCAAAGCAACAGCAAAACGTAGTTTGTTAGATATTTCATTTTAACAGTTTTTATACTTAAAACTGTATAGCTTGCCATAATTACCATTTTCATAATCATGATAGTATAATTTTTAAAACATTTTAAATACTAAATGTTCTGGCCTTTTACGGATGTTTTTAATTTTGTTTTAAATAATTAAATTATGGAGCTTGACCTAGATTTACCAATAAACATTCCAATTTATTTTCTCTCACAAATAGTTTTTTTTTTTTTTGATAATTTTATAATAGCAGTATTCCTACTAAAATGTATTCAAATCAGCCTTTATCATTGTGGGACTTAGGAAAATCCCTGAATTTAGGTACTTTACACTGAGCTAAATCCCTAACCCTTTTTAAATTTACAAATTTTACAGGGTCTTGCTAAGTAAATTGTCCAGGCTGGGCTTCAACTTGTGATCCTGCCTTAGCCTCCAAGATTTTGTTTTTGACTGAACTTCATTTATTTCCAGTTAGCTCAAAATATAAGAAAGTTGCAGATGTGGTGGCTTGTCACAGGGTGCATCCGTGGCAGTGCAGAATATAAGAAAGATGAAACTTACCTTCCGTCACAGAGACGGCCAGAGGGGCTGTCTCAACAGAGAGCACCCAGCATTAGGGAGACTGCCTGGAATATCATCAAAGCCGAGAGCTCCCTGGCTTTTCTTTAGATTATCAGTGTAAGATGGAAAAGAAGAAAAGCAGTTGAGCTCTTTAAGAAGCTGTGTCAAGGCTGGGCAGGACTGTGGCACATTCCTTAACAACACTTAACTGTACACACACAGTTTCCTTTCTTCTATTAAAGCATGGATCGTCTCTACCTTGTCTCATCGTTGAGACCGTATTCATCCCTCCTGCTACTCAGACTCCTGCAGTAGTGCCAGTTGTGTTCACTAACTTCAAATTTTATCTTTCAGCTCCTGCTTTTTTTCTGAATTCGACACATATCTAAGAATTTAATAATCCACTTAAATATGTCAAAAGTCATGCTAATCCATCTAAGTAAATTAAATTGTTCTACCATTATTGTTTGAACGCAAGCCAAAAGCCTTCCAGTTGGCCTAGGCTTCTCCCTGTCTCATGCCCCTCTTCCAGTTCATTAGCAAGTCATATCAGCTGTACTGTTAAGAAGCACTTCTAATCCGACCACACCTACCCCCATGCCTGCTGCCTGAGTCCAAGCCTCATCTCCCTCCTGGGCTACTACAGATCCTCTCAGCTGCTTCAGCTTCTGCCCTGTTGTACGTACACAAGGCAAGTGATTCTTCTTAAATGTAAACTAATTAAATTTCTATCTTGTTCCAAGTCCTACAGTAACTCCAAGAAAGATGTTAAAAGACATTATTGCCTCCAAGGCCCTGAGTGGTGTGGCCCTGGCTGCTGTTCTATCTCTGTTGCTCGACCTCCTTGTTATTCCTGGAGCCCACACAAAACACAGTTCCTCCTCAAAGGAAGGTAGAACAGTACCGAATAGGGCTAAGACAGACACAAAGACCCCGAATGGAGAGGTAGCTGTGAAAAAGATAATACTAGAAAAAAGCAGAGTGAATAGACAGTAGGATACATGTAGTTTGAAATTAGTACATGGAAGAGATTGAGGAATTCTTCCAGGAGGTACTGCAAAATAAGACTGAAAGTCTAAAAAGGTATGCATTGTGGAGGATCTGAGCAGGAGAGCCAACATCCGGGTAATCGTTACCCGCAAAAGACAAATACAAGGACAGTAAAAAAATACTTCTAAGAAATAGGTAAGGGTTTCCAAATCAAAGACATAAAATCTAAGGTCTTTATTAGAAGGGCTTAGAGTCGGGATGTAGTTCAGTAGTGAAGGGTGCACGCTTAGCATTTGCAAGGCCTTAGGTTCTATTCCTGGCACCAAAATAAATAAAAATAAGCCTCAGAGAAAGCAAGTAGGAAAGAAGGAAAAAACCCACATTTAGACACAATTTTAAATATCAAAGATGAAGAAAATTATAGAAGTTTCCAGAGAAAACATATAAAAGGAACAAAAATCAGACACCTCAAGCTTCTCAAAAGCAACAATATTTTCAGAACCCGGAAAGAAAAGGAAATTTGAACCTGTTATCTGTTTAACTAGTCATGTGCTCATTCAAATCTGAAGGTGTAATAAAAATACTCATATAAAATCTCATTTATCATGTGAGCATCTACATGAAAAACACTTTCAGGAAAAAGTGATCAGTTAGAATAACAAATGCAGGAGATGCTGCAAGACAGAATTAAAGCTAAATGGCCTCATCGAGTCTGATGTACCAGTCAGAGGAGGGACAAAAGTGAAAGACAAAGTATTTCCATAATAGTTCAGACCAAAAGTCTGGAATCTAGATGTACCAATGGAATGCTGGAGGCAGGGAGGCAGAAAGGGAATAAAGGGATATAAACAGTAAAACGCTTGTTTAGTTGGGAGAAGATAAAAATCAGAAATCAGCAGCAGAAATATAATACAGAGATGAGTCCTAAGTGCAACCATCGCAATGATGTGGTAAACAGTTACACAGAGCATTACACGAGGCAATGGAGATAGTAATTTCCACAATAACCATAGGAGCTATTTTGTTTTTCTTTTTGGTATCAGGAATCAATCTCAGAACCTTGCACCTGCCAGGTAGGCTTTTATGCTGCTGAGCTATATCCCTAACCCCGTATGACCTGTGATGATCAATCTTGATTGTCAACTTGACTGCTTTGAGAGACACCTAGAAAATTAGTAGAGCACCCTTCTGGGTGTGTCTTGGGGGGTCACGGCATGGTCATGTGCCTTGGTGGGGGTGACCATGGGAATGCATCTGCTCCTGGCCCCCTTTTCTAGAACTACCTAGAGATGAGTACCTGGCTACCATGAAGTGAGTTGGTTTCTTCCACTATGCCCTTCCACCATGATGTTTCTTCCTTGGAGCCAGCCAATCATGGGCTAAAACCTCTGAAACTATGAACCAAAATAAACCCTGCCTTCTTTAAATTGTGCATGTCAGGTATTTTGCCCCAGCAAGGGAAAATCAGTCAGTACGGTACCTTCAGTCTGTTTTACAGAGAAACATGCAGGCCAAAGAAATGAAATAATTTGCCCACACAACACAACTTTTAGACTTTCTGTGATACTTATCAAAAATCCTAAATAATAAAAATGTTTTACAAAAATGTTACATGAAAAGTTCCAGAAATAAGCAGTGGAAGTTTTAAATCGCATACCATTCTGAGTAGATGGTAAAATCTCTGTCCTGCTCCATCTTGATATACACTGAACTACACCCACCCCTACTGTTAGATGCTTTAATATTTAAGTGAGCAGAAGAAAATCTGATCTCTGTAGTAGAAAGCAGAAAAACAGGAAAAAAGACAAATTGAAAAAGAATAAATGGAAAATATAAAACAAAATGACAACAATAATTCCTTATATAAGTAACTACAATAAATATAAACATAAAATGTGTTTTCTTTCTTTCTTGTGCAGGGACAAAATACTTGATACCTGCAACTTAAAGGACAAAAGGTTTGTCTTGGTTCACAATTTCAGAAGCTTTAGTCCACAGTTATCAGGCTCAAATGCAAAAAGAGCACGGTGGGAGGCTCTGGTGGAGGAAAGCTGCTCGTCATGGCAGTAGGAGGCTGAAAGGGAAGCAAGGAGCAAGCCCCAGGAACCTCCAGCCCACCTCCTAACAGTGTACTTAACACACTGAGTATAGCACCTCCAAGATCCAATCATTACGCAAACAGCGTTTGGGGACACCTCAGATCTAAATCATAACATTTATCACTTCAAAGTCATAGTGAGGTTGAATTTCCAAATACAATGTCCACTAAGAGAGAGAGGTACACTTGAAATAAAAACAGAAAATTTGAAAAGGATTCATTAGGCAAGTGGGAACAAAATGAAAAGTAGAATACCAATCTTAAAACTGACAAGACAGAGTTTTAGAAAGTAATACTAGAACAAGAAGCTAAAGCCATCATCAACATAATAGCTTCTTATGTATAGATGTATATGAAACTCCACATTGAACAAACTAAAAATACACATCTTTTCAAGCATGCCCTTGAGGCTAAGGCAAGGAAGGTAGCGAGTTTTAGGCCAACCTTAGCATCATAGAAGACTCCTTCCCAAGAAAAAATCGGTTTTTTTCTTTTTCCTCATCTGGATTTTCATTTTTTATTCTCAATGTACTATTAAAAATAAAAGCTTTGTGCCTGGGAGGTGTGACTCATTGGTAAAGTGCTGGACTAGCACATATGAATCCTTTGGTGTGATCACTGGCACTGCAAAAATAAGGAACTACAAACATCAAAATTAAAACCAAGCTCTAGATCTTTAGAGTGATTAATTCTAAACTTTGAAATGAAACGTACAAAGAAAAAAATCTGAAACAAGAATTACAGAAAGTAGCTACAAATATATCAGATACCAAGGAAATAAAAATACAAAAAGTTTTATGCTAATAGGTGAAATGGATAAGTTCCAGGAAAGTAAAATTTGGAACAAGAAACAATAAATCAACTAAAAAGTGTTAAAAAAAAATTGAAAAACCATCAGTGGATCTAAGATTTCATTTGATTTTACTAACAAGCACATATTTGAATGTATCACTGTTTCCAGGGGCTGGCCGAAAGCAGGAGACTCCTGCATCAAGCACAAAGGCTCATGGCACAGCAAGCAGCATGTTTGCACTGGTTCTTTTGAGCACCCAACCCTAGGGCAATGTAGAGGCCCAGATGAAGACCAGGCATGCAGAGTTCACATCACCACCTGGGAATCCTGAGCTTTGTGAATCCATCTTCTTTACTAGCAGGCGATAAGCAAGCCTGCTCTTTGTCCCAGCAGATAGTGCCTCATCTCTCAAGGCTGTCCACTGCTAACCATGCTGAGAAATGGCCTGGGTAAACAGCTATGAAGATCTGGAATTCTTGCATTACCTACAACAAGAATGGACAGGGATGTCCAAGGTCCACAATAGATGACCACCTCTTCCAAGGACAATTCATCCTTTGAACCTGTACATTCTTGGCCAAATTTTTATTTTCATATAAGCATGTGTGATGGTTAATTATCAACTTGAGAACTATCTAGCAGATTAGTAAATTCTTTGTGTCCAGCAAACTAAGTGAGGATGACCCACTCTGGATGTGGTTGGCACCGATCAGTAAGTTTGTAGCAGGACAGAATAAACGTGGAAAGAGGGAAGTGTGTCCCTTTAAGAGACCCT